GCACGGTGTGATACCCACTTGAACCAACTAAAAATGGAAATGCAGGGTTTCCGCAAAAAGTCTCATAGTCAATCAAGTGTGTAAACCTCTGCATGTCAACGATCAGGCATGTTGCGTTGGGCGATTGAAGGTTCATGCGTGGCTTGGCAGCGAAAGATCGTGTATTTCTGAAAAATTTCGACACTGGGCAGCTCATAGGACATTGACATTGCATGCATGGGTGCGTATGAAACCACTGCTGGATGCTTCAGTGGTCCTTACTGGAGTTTTTGGTGTCTCGGACCATCCGGCAACAGGACTCCTTTGTCTGCAGCCCCACGTTCTTGACTGCCAGTGGGGCATGGATTGAAGGGCGAGTTTTCAAATATTCTTCCAAAACTCTGGCCGAACGGTATGAAGCCGTTGCTCCGGACTTGCGCCAGGTTTACAATTTGTTGCAGGGTGTTTTGACAAGCGCTGTGTCCTCGGAAACGTTGAGCACTGACAATGCACCTCATGGCGTTGCAGACCGTCTCTATGTCAAGTGGGCCAAAGCTCTCTCGAAGGTGGCGTTCGATGTCCAGGCATCAGACTCACAGCTGATCCAGGATGAAGCAGGCATTTGCGACGAAATCGATGCCGTTGCCTTTCCCCGTGCACGTCTCCGGCGAGGACGAGTCTGATTGGTCATGTTTGTAGTGGTGCAAAGGGTAAGATGTTGCCAACAGCGGGACTCCTGGTTGAGGACGCGAAAAGTTTTTGCAATAAACAGAGGGTTGCGAGATTGGCAAGGCAAGTAGGGCTTAGGGCTTGCAGCTTTTGAGTACAAACGTCGTATATTTGTCGGTGGCACAGCCACCATTGTGATCCATGAAAGCAAAACCTCAAACATCCGGAGGGTGCCCAAGCCCTAAGCCAGGGTGGAATTACAGCCCAAACCCAAACAGTAGCAAGCACAAAACCTCAAATAGGCAAGCCTACGCCTTTTCGAGGTGTTGGGTTTGGCCTGGCTTGGCTGGCATGTAGCATGTTCTTTAGGCAAACCTCTGGGAAGTTGCTGCTATTGCTGCCTTGAGGACAAATCTACTTGACGCCAGCTACAGGCTTCCAAGGGCGATTTGTTGGCTTCCCTGAGTGCCCACAGGGCTTGATTGCCGGCCTGTCTGCATGTTTAGCAGTGAAGAACCCACAAACACTTGACCGATTTCAGAGGACATGGGCATGGGTGAAGGGAAGCTGCAAGAGTCCAGTGTGTCCTTGTCAGTGTGTAGAGCTGACCAACGACCTTGTTGTGAGCTTGCCTTGGAGGATAGTGAGCTCGTCTGCATCGTGGAGGGAGGATCCATTTGCGTATACGCCAGAGCTTTGGAAGAGCTTCTTCTCCGCGGCGCGGTCCGCGCGATGGGAGAACCTGACAGATTCATTTCACAAAGCGGAAGCGTTTGCTGGCTTACGAGCATCTGGAATCTTTAGCCATGGCAGATCCTCCAGAGCCATCCGCAGACGAGTGGAAGTGGATTGGGCACTGCTAAAGGTTTACTCGCGCATGCTGACTCCTGTAACACCATTGGACCTTTCAAGGAGCCCCACACGTGTGGGCCTGGCAGAGTTCTGGTGGAACCTTGCTGGCATGACAGATGTTGGATTCACCAGCTGGGAGTGGATGCACTTGGGCCTGCCGGTTCTCGCTGCAGGTGCAGAGTCTTACATCGCGAATGGCTGTGCTACCTCTGCCAAGTTCGTTTGTCCACATGTATTGCTTCGCATGCGCAACTTATCACGATTCCATAGCGGAAGCTACCAAGCTTTGCAGTTCCGGTTTGACATAGATGCACTCTTGCAAACCGCGTTCGAGGTGGGACGTGATCGAGATGGGGCTATGGAGAGATTCAGGACCATGATGGTGCCAGTCCTGTCTGAGATCCGATGTCGCTGTTGCAAAGACTGCGCGGTTCACACATCGCCCACATCGCCAGTCGCCCGCCTCCCAGACGAGCACTTCAGTGACTGGCAGCTTGCATATAGGCTCGGCCGTGGGGCTCTCACCTTGCAGCGGCGGGTGCTGTCCCAGCTGTCACAGGACCATCCTGCCCGGCCCATGGTTAAGGATGTGGTGCAAAAGGATGGAAAATGGTGCGTGGGAGGTGATCAGGGCTGCCACTCTACCTCGTCCCATTGTTACCCCTACGACGAACTCTTCAAATCTATACGGACCGAGAGGCACATGCACACGCACAAGTCCGAAGGAGGCGATGGCTACGGCGGCTACCCACAGTTGCGAGTGATGCAAATCGGGATCTGTATGGGTCAATCCCTTGCATCCATCGAGCGCTTCTTCCGGCCTGTGGGTGTCGACCGCATCGTAGGAGTGGATTTGGTTCCTGAGGTCTTCGAGTTCTTCAAGCACAAACTCTACACACTAGAGCCCTTCGACATCGACAAGATTCACACGTACCGTGCCTCCAGCCTTGTCGGTGCGGATGTGTCGAGACTGCATCGTGAGCTGTTGGCGGACGAAAGGGCAGGCAAAGACATCCGATTCGACATCATTATTGATGACGGTGACCACATCGGTGGAGCTATGGTTGAAACGTTCCGCAACATGTTCTTGCGCTTCCTGAAGCCTGGAGGGTACTACATAATCGAAGATCTGAATGATTTGTACAACTATCACAGCGCACACATTCTGAAAGACTTTCTTTGGCAGCACCTGGTACCAGCTGGTCCGGACCAGTTTGAGAACATGCCGAAGCACCTGTACATGAACACCAAGGAAGTAGCCCTGCAGTCAACCCCGGATCCTTTTTTTCAATGGGTTCACAGCGTGACGCTTCATGGTCGTACGTTTCTACTGGTGAGGAAGCATCTGGCTGTCCTGTAAGTCGGAAAATCATGTGGAGCTTCCGCTGTGGTTCTGCACCTAGCTTTATGCACTTGGATCTTGGGTCTTGTGAGTGGTCGTGGGTTAAGGCTCAGTTTTCAACCTTCACAGCTTCTAATTGTAAGTCCAAGGTTTCGGTCAATGTTCACATGCCGATGATGCTGTGGCGGAGAAGCAGCGAGCTCTCTGCGTGCAGCCACGTCACGTCTACCATAGAACCGTGAATGTGCATTAGAGCGCAAAGCAACATTAGAAGTCGACAATTTGTCCAAAATGTTCAGAGTGGACCCGCAACTTCAACCCGAATGCCTTCATGGGATCTGCTGTAGCTTTTTGCCATGCTATCGCAGCCCTTAGCTCCCCTGGGCAGTCCCACGCCACGTCTACAAGAACGGCTGCATTTGCCGCCTGTGACACCACACTCCAGGCACCTCGGAGATCGCTCGCACCCGGTGAGCCCTGCGCCCTCGCCACCGCCACCGTTAGAACTGCAAAAGGGGGAGCGGACCTCTCCTCGACCGTACCTAAGCCCGCAGTTGCGGGAGGCCGAGCACTCCATCGACTACCTTTGCCACAAGTTCGAGGCTTTGTCACGTCAGCTCAGCCGAGAGGAACAGGCTCGTGAAGCTGCAGAAAAGCGTGGACGACAGCTCGCTGCTGAGTCTCTTGAGGCCCAGAAGTACAAGGACCTGCTACTTCCGTTTTTTGGACTGCGAGAGTCTGCGAGGATACTGTAGCGGTCTTCGGCTTGGGTCATGTACTGCTTGTGTGGGAATGCTGTAGTCAACACTGGGACGCATCTTCATAGGAAGAAAGCGCTGATGCTTTGATCTCCGAGCTGACATCCCGTCAGGCCTGCGGCGTCATGTCCGTCATGTGTTACTTTTGCACAGGAGCTGGGCTCCCCAAACCAATCTGGCAGCGTTGATTCCCACAGTCCCGCAGCACGGTGATCCGCGGCAGGCAGCAATTGCCAGTCTCCGAGAGAAGGCGGGGCTGGCGGCCCAGAACGCAGCCCAGCAGGCCTACTGCTTACGGGAGGCACCCCGAGCTCCGCGTGCGCCGCACGCTCCGCGTGCCGCACGGTGCATACCCTTCCTCCTGGGGTTCAAGGTTTCAGTTTCAGCCAGGCATTCTGGAAATCAAGACTCACGCAGGCTGTCGCAGACTCTCCGAATCTTGCTTCTTCTCACAAATGTCTCAGAGGCCAAAAAAGGTGAACCTTGAGCCTTCAGCTTCGTCATATCCTCGGTTCCGCAGACACGCACACAAAATGCAAAACGGCAAGAGGCTAGTCGCAAGGCTCGAGCCTTGAATCAGAGCAAAGAGCTAGCAGCTAGCCTTTCAAAGGCGAGGCAAGGCGAGACACCTTTGTTCGGAGCTCCTGCAATCTGGAGAAACCTTTACCGCCTTCGGCCTCCAAAGTGAGCCGGCTCGGAACTTGGGCGACTCGGGCGTCAGGGTCACACGGTCTCAGCTTCTGGAGGAGCAAGCGGCCGGCGCTGCCGCGGAACAGCGTTGCCAGAGCCTCCACGAGGCTTTCGTGGGTGAACACTTTTATCTCATTTGCATCCGTGTGCGACACAGAAATCTGTGGAGGCTTCCTGTCAAGCTGTGTCTCTCTTGTTGCTTGGGGCTTGTGGTTGCAGAGTGTCGGATGGGGGTCTGTTGGTTGCTCATTGATTGCAAGAGGTGTTGAGTGTTGGCGGCTCAAAAGACCAAGTGCTAAGAACTGAGGCATCCGACGAGGTAGGCCTCGTTCCAGAATCCATGAACGCCTCAAGCAAAGGGATTGATTGGATAGGAACCAACTCCAGGCCTGAGAACGAAACTTCAAAGCCATACCTGTCTGTGCTGCCCAGGGTCTTTGAGCCAGCCAGTCCAAGGCCACAAGCCCTTGGCCGTGCACCCAACGCCGAATCATCCAGGAGTGCCGCCAGATATCTGAGCGCTACGACCAAGCGGTACAGAGGCTGGCCCTGGAGGCGAAGCCGCTGCAATCCTGATTAAATTCCAGTGGTGGCTGTAGTAATGCTACTACTACTACTACTACTACTACTACTACTACGACTACTACTACTACTACTACTACTACTACTACTACTACAACTCCTATTACCGCTACCGCTGCCACTGCCGCTACGGCTACCGTTGCCGCTGCCGCTACCGCTACCGCTTCCGCTTCCGCTTCCGCTTCCGCTTCCGCTGCTGCTACTGCTATT